CACTTGCTTAAAAAGTTCATCATGTTCAATTGGACTCATTCTGTAATGGGGAAGATTAGGCAATGTGACCCCAGGTATTAAATCAATGTCATGTTGAATGTCTCTCATCGGTGGCAAACCTTTTGACAACTCTTCAGGTGTTATATCAGAAAACTCATCAATTAAAGGTTGAATTTCTTTAGGAATTTGAGAGGTTGAATCAGTTTCTTTCCCTAGCACCAGGTAAGCTACCTCAGATTGTTTCAACTCATTTGTGTTAAGAAACAGTTCAGTAGTGTTTGTTTTTGCAACTTTGGTATTTTTGGTAGGCGGGTCAGGAATGTGTTTTTGAGGATAAAGAGTGAATTCTTTATTATTTTGAATTAAAGTGTAGGTATTATTTTTCCCGTTATGGATGGTTTTGTGATCGAATTGCCAAGGACGACCCAGTAAGATATGGTAGACTTCAAGAGGTACAACATCGCAAACAACTTGATCTTTGTAAGAACTTCCAATTGTTAAATTAATAGTGCATTGTTTTATCATAGGAACCTCGCTCCTTTCCTTAAACCAAGAGATTTTGTATGGTTTGACAAGTGATTTTGATTTTAATTTAAGCTTATCAACCATTAGTTGTGAAACAAAATTACCTGAGCTCCCCCTATCGATCATTATAGTGCAAATTTTTCTCTCAACTATGCAAGTGGTTTTAAAAATATTTCTTCTAAGCCACATCTCCCCATTTTCCATTTTAGCAGTTAAAACTTACCGGATTATTAAAAGTTGTTCACCTTCATCGCCCTCTACATCAACTTTTTCTAATTCGATTTCGTTTTCAGGTTCTGATTCATTTTCTTCTTCTATTTTTTCATCATTTTCAATGTAATTATTTCTTGGTGGGTTATTTTTTTTCTACAAGCTGCAGAGAGATGGCCATAAAGCCCGCATTTATAATATGGTCCAATTAGTTTTGGTTGTTCAATAGGTTTAGGACCCATTATTCATTTACCTTTATCCATATTTTGAGTTTAAAATGATTTATTTTGTACACCCGATATTTTTACAGAAGTTTGTGAAGATTGAGTTTTAACCCTGCTAGTTTGTCATCGTTTATAAGTTTCAGTTATTTTTTTGTGACCCATTTGATGTTGTTATTTAATTTTCAGTGTCATTCGATAAAACTCGTCGATTTTAATTACGTGTTACAAATTCAGTTGATCTTGGATTATCCATTTTAGACCGTTGATATACCTAGTGATAGTTCTTTCCTTGGATTCATCTAAGTCATTTCTAGATTGGAGTTTGTAAAAAATTTCAGTGTATTCTTCAATAATTTAATTTACTTGGTGCAGGTTATTAAATTATTGAAATATGGTTTGTGCGTGGTTTGAAGACATAAATTTCCCTCTTATTTTCTATTTCATTCTTTCCCAGTTTTGAATTTTTTCTTTCCCTCACCTTAGTTTATTGTTTTGAAGATTCTTCCATCATGTGAGTGCATGACCAGTGAGTTTTAAGTTTGCAAATTTAACCTTCCTGTTATCCAGTATTTCCTTCCATTAAAAAAATTGATCCATTTTTTCTACCCATTCAATGAATTGACCGAGTTGTAATTTTCCTTCAAAGTTATGAACATCAATTTTAATCCCATAATCTCAATTTCTTTGTCGCCTATTTTGGTTCCTAGGGACTTTCCCTTCACTTTCAGAAGTTTGAACATTATGATTGTTGACATTTAAGTTTGCAAGAGTATTAGCCATGTTGTTTATTTGATTTGTAAATCCGCTAACTATTGCATCATTTGTTGCCAATCCCCTTGATTATTAGTCATTTTTGTTTTCTTAAGAAAGAGACTCACACCAACCTAAGATTTGCTAACTTTCTCTGATACCAAACTTGATGCAGGCAAACTAGAAAGAAAGAGTCAATAGAGGAGAACACTAGGACTAGAAGAACAAAACTCAATTCAAACTAGAATGCTGACATCCAAACAAACACCAAAATAAACCAAAGCCAAACAAATGAAACAAAATTAAAATTAAAAAAACACTATCCTCAGAACAGCCGGCAAGCCGTTTCCTCACATGCAACGAAAAAATAGGCAAAGTAAAATAAGTGTTTAAGGGCTTGCAAATAAAGGGTCCATCACAGCTATAAGGTCCAACATCCAACAAAACTCTTCCGGCAAATGTCACCAAATCAACCAACAAATACTTCCAATAGCTCAAGAAGAAGGATACAAGTGGAGTGGAACTTGCGGAGAGAAGAAGAGGTTAGAAGCCCAAGACGAAATAGAGAGGAGAAAGAGAGAAATGGAACAAGCTCTCAAGCTTTTCTAATGTAGAAGAAACCTTCAGGTTTTATAGAGACTTTGCTCAAATATTCAACAACCTTTTGTGCTTCGAAACATCTCCAATTTATAGGAAGAAAGGGGGCAACCAAACAGCCATTCCACCTTCAACCAAACCAATCAGGTAAGGGGAAATAGAAGGCCAGAAGATTCTAGAACATCACCCGAAAGGCCACACAAAAATCGGATGAAGCAGCCACGGGACAAGCAGCTAGGGGAGGAACTGAAGGGGCAACACAGGGGATGGGGACTAGAAACCAGGGGGAATGAAACAACCACCACAGGGAACCGAAACCGTAGACAAGCAAGGAAAACCGAAGAGACGCAAAGAATAGAAAGAGGCAAGATTCCACTCCACATAATGAGCTAGCAAGTGGAATAACTTTTCATATTAATGAGTTAAACATTAGCTCAAGCATTTATGAGCTATAACCAAGTAGCTCCCAAAGAACACAACCCAAACCCGAGCAGCCAAGACCCAACCCGAGAAGCAACCAGCAGCCCAAAGACCAAAGAAACCAAGTAGCCAGCACACCCAAGGTTTGCCATGCCCAAGCACTTCCTACTCATGATCATTGGATATTTTCCATCATAGGATATCATAAAAAAAATTAAAAAAATTATAATATTCAAATTACAATAAAAACGAAAATAAACTGAAATTTGCATGCATCACGGTGTCAGCTCCTTGGGTGCCAAGAAGGTGGTTGTCATCCTGTACGAACTTCCCGAGCTGCTGCGTCCAGTCTCATTCTCCAGGTGCCTCTGATCCTCCACTAACTGAGCTAGCTCCATAGCCTATCCCAAATCACGAGGCCTCATCACTCTAATTGCCTCTCGAAGCTCTGGTTTGAGCCCTTTCATAAAGTTCACTTTCAGTACAGTCTCCAGAAGCCGGTCCAGTCGGCTGACTAGGTGCTCAAACTGCTCACGGTATTCCACCACCGTCCCCTCCTGCGTTATGGCAAAGCTTTGCTTATAAAAGTTCCCTTCTTTGCTGGTTCGAAAATGTTCCAACAAGCAATCCTTAAACTCCCTCCAGATTCATATGGGTCTCTTTGTTTCCCTTCATTGATATCATGCTAAAGCTTTCCCTTCCAAGTACATCCTGGTTGTCGTCAGTCTCTACTCCGTTAGCTTATTCACGATAAAGTATATTTCTACCTTGTAGATCCATCCATGGACATCATCTCATTCAAAAATAGGCATTTTTAGCTTCCTCATCCTCGGATCTCCTCCATTCTTTTTGTTTTCTCTATAATTTTTCATTCCCCAAGGGGGTGGTTCCTCCCAAGTGTCTCAATCATCCCTTCTACGCTCATAACCAAACATTTCATCAAATTCTCACATTCTCCTTTCAAATTCAACACCTCTTGGATCATGATAAATCCCTTTCCTTTCCATTTCAGCCCCCCTTTTGGTCATAATTACTCATTTCCGTTTCAAATTCCTCCACTCTCCTCTCAAATTCAACACCCTTTTTGTTCATACTTAGCTCCTCACGCTTCTCCCCATACCCTCTACACGGCTCCTCCCTAGGAACATGCTCTAGGGGAGGTATTCTCTCTTTTCCCTTTCGAGTCTCTACTTCTTGATCTTCGTTTTGCCTTATTGGATTAGAGTTTTCCCCGCTTCCTGGGTTGCCAGAGGCGTCCTTCGCCTCTAACGATGTCGTTTTGGATTGGCTCTCGAGCAACTTCTTCAACATCTCCCCCATACTGGAAAATTTCCTATTCATTTTCTTATGGATGGCTGAAATTTGACTTTTGACATATGAAAGTTGCGTGTGGAGATCTTAAATTTCAGTTTTCAATTGTCCGATCTCACCTTCCAACGCTGCTACCTCCAATAGTAAAGAACAACAAGTTTGATGCGAATTTTGACCTCCAATTAGCAAAAACAACAATATTGGATATAGAACAAAGCAAAATTCAGCGACTAAGACTTCTATTTTAGCTTAGAAAATTGCTCTGATATCAATTTGATAGAAAATATTTTTATAAACTTAGAAAACCCTTGCTGAATTATGAGAAAATCAACCACTTGCAAACAACTTTTGAGAAGGAAGACAAACAACAATGAAACAAATTTTATTTGATTAAAGACGAACAAAAGCAAGTAAGATACAATGGATCTTCAATTCGAGAGGAAGATTTGACTCCCCCAATCCCTAGCCGGTGGCTAGAGCCCAAGTAACTAAGAGAGATCTTAAATTTCAGCCAAATTCAAGATGTCCTAACTCTAGAAAAACAAACTATTTAATGCATACAATCCAAAAGTTAATCTCTAAACATCCCTTACTTTCAAATTTCCCTGCTCTTAAATCCTTCATAATCAAAGCTTTTGGACTCTGCAGTTTGAGTGACACGAGCGGGAGGCGGAACTTCTCTGTCTCTGTTACACGCGAGGGTCCAGTGAACCGGTCTAATACTTACATGATACACTATTGGCCTTTATCGTTGAAGGATTGTGCAAGTGCATTTATTGAGGGGGGCAAACTTACAAAAAGTGTTATCTTGATATTGAAAAAAAAAGGTAATGGTGGGCAACTGCCGAACCTAAAGTTGGGATAGGTTTGCCCCTAATGGAGAGATCATACATTAGAAATAATTAGTAATGAGTTTACTAGAATACTTCAATATCAAAATTTGGAATAATTATTTTTGGATCTATGGAATTAGAGTTTTCAGACCCTCCCATTGAGGTAGTTAACCTTGAGGAGGGTATCACACTCTCATCTGCTTATAAGTGAATTATTTCTGTTCCTCCAGCTAAGCTAGACCTTCTTTCCACTAATATAGATGAGGATGTCATTGTCACAAATTCTAAACAGCTATCTGAGTCTGACGTAATTTTATCATATACTGAAGTTCAAATAGTTAGGAGATTTCATATCCTATTTTCCAGAAGAGGCAGAAACGGGAATAAAATTTACTATCATTATCTAATATTCACTAGTTTATAACCAATGCGTCGCAATTGAGAGCTTATGAGCTTATGATGACATATTCACCTATTAGATTGATATTTCCTATCTTAGCATCATATTGTATTGCATTGTGCTTTGATTTTTCATTTTAAACTAGCAATTCCGTATGATTGTGTCATATGTATTCATTTCCTTATCTAATTATAATATTTTCTGATTTTAATATTCCGCTTAAAAAAAAATTTTTGGAAAGAAAAAAAAAACACATTCTTTGAAATTTTCGTAATAAATCTCTTAACTTTGCTACTTGTAGGAACAACATTCTTCATGAAATATCTTTTGCAAAAACCAAATTGATAATGAAACGCTTTTATTTTTCCTTATTTGAATCCTATTCCACATGTGTCAAAGCTTTTGATATCATTAAGAGAAGATCCACTTGAGATGTTTCTTTTATATTCAATATTTTGATTGTTTTGGTCAAACGGCAGCGTATTTGCAATATAGATCAGTCCTCTATGTACCATCCTCTAAATCTGAGGGCTTTATTGTCATGTATTTTGGTAGCGTAGGACAAACGATGCTGATTCTTCCTCCTTATTTGCAGGTCAAATCCATTAGCCGAGTTCACAATTCGTAAGTATATGGCTTTTTTTTTTCTAATATTGTACCAAAAAGAAAAGATTTTTGTTCTTCAACAGGGCTATCACATCTCATTGATTAAGTTCTCTTCAGCCATTCAAAATAAATCTTCATGTTGTTCTAACAGGAGATGACCCGATTAGGAGAGTAAATGTATTAGATTTGATTTATGTTAAGAAAAATAGAGGTAGACCTAAAAAGACTTGGTTAAAAAATTTTAGAAATGATATTTCTTTATTAGATTTAAATGAGATTTTGACTACGTAACAGGGTAAAGGTTTTTTGTTGTTGTTGTTCTAATGGGAGGTGAAATTATTAACTTCATTTTTTAACAAACTTAACAAAATCAAGCAAGATTGCTCTATGGCCATTCAAACCGGAGGCCTATAGTAGATTTCTTTGTTCTCTTATGTGAACATGAGCAGGGATTGTTGCTCACTGTATCAAGTTATGACATTGTTATGTTCCTGCTAATTGGAACTTAAACCCGTTTGTACTCTTGTACGGTCAATTTCTTATTTTAAACCTATTCCTAAAGATGCTTGCAATCTTTTTTTTTTCCGCAAGATAAGTATAACATTTGAAGTAATATTCTTTTCCAAAAAATTGATGTTTATCTTTGAAAAACATTAAACTTGTTGAGTCCACGGAATGCCACATTTCCTGCGTTGAAGTAATATTTTTTTTTTTTTTCGGAAAATTATAGTATTATAAATAGATTTATGATTAATGATAGTATTTAAATTTCTTTCAATAGTAATAAAACTTTAGGTCATTGGCATTCTAAGTTTCTCGATCACGATCATGCATCTGTGGAAACAGTAGGCACCTAGCCACACCCCTGAAAAGGGGTTATCCTTGTTGAGCATTAAATTGCAAAATCCTTCGTTTAACCAATATGCTCCTTTTGGAGGACAAGTTACCATAATTGGAATTCCCTACTTTAAATTATAAGCTGAAGAAGAGGGCTTCCCTTCTCTTCTGTTCATAAAACCAACAGCCTACATCAACTCTTGATTCTTTGGGCATGCTGAGGGCTGACCATGCAAAAATTAATTCTTTCTTATCCACTGTTTTAATTGTATTGGTTGAGCTATAAATGCAGCTCTAACTCGGAGTGGTGGTCTGAAAGAATTCCATTGGGAAGAGGATCTATATTCCTAAGATGAGGGAAAATGGTGTTGGCTTGCCACTGTGAAAGGAGTTGTTATGTAGGCCTAAAGCATGACCGACACTTGGTCAGCCTAAAAGACATGGTGATGCCTTTTGGCTAAAGGGCCCAGATGCCTTCATACTTGTAAATCAACATCTGTTGCTACCTTGATGCCCATGTTTTGTTCCCACCACCACCACAATTGCCACAGTTTTCTCCATCAAGTCTTTTGGAAAGAGCTTTTATTTTGGCTGAAATAAGGATTATCACATTTCTTGATTCTTCTCCAATCAAATCATTACTATTATGAATGATTATTTCAGATAATTAATATATAGTAATATTTGCTTTAATCAAATATTGTTTTATTAAATCATGATCCAAGCTCTAATTTTGTTTTCATATAATTACTTTTTATTAATTTAGTGACTTTATCACCCTATAAATGAAAATAAAGATTTTTGTTTTTATCGGCGTATAAGTAAAATCGAAGTTAGAGAGGCCTTAAAGAAAACGAAGAGTGGAAAAGCTGTTGGACCTGATGATATTCCAATAAAGATGTGGAAATGCTTAAGAGATGAAGGAATTTCTTGTCTTACTAAACTTTTTAATACTGTTTTGAAGACTAAAAAGATGCAAAATTAGTGGAGAATGAGTGTGTTAATTCCTATTTTTAAAAATAAGATGATGCACAAGAGTTCGCGAAATTAATAAGAGGAATTAAGTTAATGTGTCATTTAAAACATATGGAGAGAGTTATGAAGCGTGATACTAATGTTTCTCAAAATCAATTTGATTCATGTCCGGAGTAGGTCTACTATAGAAGTCATACATTTATTTGGAGGTTTGATGGAGA